TTACCCCAAGTACGGGACTTGGATCGCGAGCAGAGATGGGTAATATTCTGCATCACACCATGCATAGTCCGAGTGAAGCCAATCTCATCCTCGTTATACATCGTGATACAAATCAACAACTCAGTCTCACGCATAGTGCTGCCAATCTGTTGGCGCAACTTGTAGCCTCGCTGCGTGAAGTCATCGGGGTCACAGGTAACCGCAGTGTACCGCATATGGGTGAATTCTCGGTCATCCCGACGAGGCAAGAAAGAGTGCAAGATAGTTGGGATCTTGCACTCCAAGATCAGTTCACCGTTGATCAATTGGACTTCCTTCGTGGACATCTGGGCCTCGCGAACACCTCGGCGGCTCTGCTTTTCGGGGGCCGGACCATAATGTATGTTCGGGTCAACCATCTCATCTGTTTCTTCCATTTCCTCGTCCAAGTCAACTTTCGACATGGCATCCTTCTCATCTGTAATAATCGTAGACTCGCTCATAAAAGATTGCATGCTGGCTCTGTTGTCGGCTCTAGGGTCAATCGTCCGCCCACCACCACCGAACACATCATCGTCGCCCGCGTCATTTATCGGGATGTTCGCATCGTGTCCACCAGGGGCGGAGAAAAGTGGTGCTGGAGGCAACGGACGGCGAGGGCTTCCCCCATATCTTGAACTGGGGGTGCCTGGTCGTGGACTACCATTGAGATCTGCACGTTCATATTGCGAGCTTGCGACCGAGGGCGGAGCTGGAGGTCGGGCCCAGTTCCCGACACGGTTAGGCGACCAAGGCCGTGTGGGAGAGCCCGGACGAGAGGTATAGTGTGGGACATCTACCGTTGATGCTGCTGGCGGGGGGATGGTTGGTACATTTCCCAGACTCGATACAGGCCGGGAAGGAGACTCGGTTGGCTCATATGGATAGTATCGCTGGCGTTCACTTCTGCGGTTGTTTTGAGCACGCGAGTTAGCAGACCGCTTCATAACCATCATTTCGTATATCATATTGAAAGTAGTTGTGCCGGATGTCCATAGACATCCCAGATATACGCAAAAAAGCGGAGACAGTGTTGGCCAGGAAAATCACGGCATGCAAACTGACTGAGTATTTCTCAGTCACCAGACTCGAGCTTTCCCCAGACAGCGGTTTTAACAGCATTGACCATGTCAACAAGGGGAGAGATGGTATGGAGCTCCACGCCGGAGGGAAGATACCAAACAAGGTCATCGGAATGCCAGAAGCCATAGCTTAGTGTGATTTAGGGGAATGGAAAAAAGAAAGGCAACTACTTACTCTCCGTCATCGACAAAAGGATCCCCATAGTGATACTCTGAGCTAACTCCCGTGTCGGCACTCAAATCACTTTCTACAATCGTGCTGGTTGGCAGCAATCGCATAGTAGCTCCATGCGCACGGGATGCTGCCGGAGGAGAATCATGTTCGGCATAGTATGGGTCTCCGTACGTATCATATGCCGGCGGCTCCTCTTCCTGGTTATGCGCCGGCACATACATCCGCGACGAGTTGTTCATGTTTATCTGCTCGTAACTCAATCGCGCATAGTATCCGATGATCAAACGTAAGTGGTGGAACAAAACGATTTCTCAGGTATCTGTGTGGTTACGGCCCCAGCGGTTACGATGACCTCAACTCAAGGGACGTAGATAGTAGTGGTCTATGGATTCCTAAAGGTAATGGGTTCCACGGTTAGCACATTTGCATTGTCCAGACAATTCCAGATCCGGGGGTTGATGGGGAATGCCACTTACTATCCACAGGGGGCAGTTGGTTGTCTGGTAGTACCAGTAAACAAACCAAAGTATGTCAGAGATCTGGAGGAATGTATCGGGGCAATCAAGCGATCGGATAACGGTTTGAAGAAGTCGAGTAGAACCTCGGATGCGAAATTCGAGCTTCCTTATAAACAAAGGTTGTGATCCAATCCACACCACAAACGCACACACAGAGCGTCAAATACTGAAGGATGGCAGGTTGATAAAGTCAAACAGAACCGATCAGTTCCGCCCCAGGCACTTCTTAAGAAAATCACCTTGGATACGGGCGCCTAAACTGCCGTCGTAATCAGACTGCACTGACGAACAGCGCCGCCTGGAGAGCGTGGATATCACCAGGGCAACGGAAGCTTGGGAGGAGCAAGCGGGGCGACCATCCTTGCAGCTGAGAGACATCGCATGGATTGAGTGATCGTGCTAGGAGAGATGAGGACTCCCATTCTGAATGGTCATTGGCTCTGTTTGTCATGGTGGGTGTCTGGTTCCTGGCGATGTTCCGGATATTCAGTTCTGGTCCTTACTTCCACTTTCTGGCCATTTCCTCGTGTGGTTTGTTTCCACGGCTGAGATCCCGCCCGCTTCCTCAGGCACCACCACCATCACCCCCTCGCCAACTGCATTTTCTACTATCGAACCGTGGAGCTTGGCTTTGATTTGCGGTCCGTGCGGGTTCAAGGAGCGCTGCACGGTCTGGGGACGCAATATAATCCTTTGATCACAGTCCATGTTTAGTAGTGCAGATTTACAATTAGCAGCGATATATAACCCCATCTGCTGTGAAGAACTCGGTCGTAAACAACAGTCCAGCCCATCACAACTTTCGCGTCCCCGGATACGATGTATTTACTATTAGCTGTGGCTCACTTGTAGCTTGATCATGATGATAAATATAGAATCATGGTGATGATCAGAGTAGAGACAAATCATTTTCCCAACCACAATAATAATGTGTCCATCAAATTCACAAGGTCATCGCTGCCATAATACATCAACAATTTCTAGTCCATCCGTCGACTTTCTGTGATTAAATAAAACAAAATAACTCCTCCAGCCTCACAGCTGTAAATTAGTTGCAGCACTATCAGAGCACAAAATAAATTATTGATGGACAACCCCCACTAAGACCCGAAAGGAGACTCTGAAATTAACCTCAACTCACGTTTCAGCGATATCCTCTGTATGCAAAACCACCTGCTTCCCGAAAAGCGCAGAAGCGGCGTTTGGCTATTACTCTCAACTAGGCAGTTTGAGCTGGCTGGGTCGAGTCGTTGAGCAACGGCTCCCTCTCGCGATCGGTCACCGGCGCCGGCTGTCCAGCCCTACGGAAGAAGATGTTGCGCCCAGAGTACTTCGTCAAGGAGATATAGAGAGACTCGGCGAAGAAGACGGCAAAGATAACAATGGCAAAGATCCACTGCAGGGAGATGATCTTGACGCCGAACTGCTTGACGGCCAATGCTGCAGAGTTGTGTTAGCGCTGCGACGGCATTTCTCTCAGAAAACCTTGTACTGATACATACCCAGCGTCAAGAGACTCAGACTGTAACCCAGAATGTCATCCTGGGTAGACAGGATGTGTGTGGAACCCAATGCGAATAGCACCCAGATGAACACATTAGCAACGATCCTCGCTGGCAGGCTGTTGCTGTTCACGGCAACGGCTCCGTTCCAGAAGAGCGTGATCAGAGTCCAGGCATAAGGCGCTGCGACGGCGGCAAAATGCGCAAGAGGTGGCAGTGTACGATGCCGCCAGTAGGTCGTCTTTTGGTTCAGGAAGTGCGCGATCAGGATAATCTCTGATCCCCAGAAATGGTTGCGAGTCCACAGAAGAATCCAGGCAAAGATGAACAGATTGTTCAGGATGAAGTGTGACCCTACATTGGCGGCGGCGGTGGCCGTCACCGCGTCATTGGAGAAAAGATGGTAGACAAAGCCGATTTGAGACAGGAGAGTTATGATCCTAAATAGCAGGTCGTAAGAATAGGTTGGTAAACATAGAGCATTGTAGGTAGCTCTATTATTGAAGCAGCCGTATGAAAAATGACGGATATAGTTACCAGTAAACACCAGAAATAACCGTGCTCAAGCTAAACGGAGTAATGTGCTTGTTGGCTTGCTTCCAGATGGTATGGCCGTGCTTGACATCGGGGGCATGGGAGGAGTAGTAGATGCCGACGACCACGACGAGCAGCCACGACAAGGGAACGAGGACGCGATAGGTTCCAAGTGAGAACCGGTCGTGCGACTCTCGCCTAGCGAATGGATTATCTAGAACATTTCACGGTCAGTGACTGATGAACAACGGTGTATTGCAGGCGAGGGTGTCTTAGGAATCAAGGCGGAGGGACTCACAGGTTGACATAGCGACTGCTATGGATTACGATGTAGGGATGGTTAGGGTAATGGGCGAAGGAGACCTAGAATCAAGAAGAGCGAACTCTGATCCCGACCGGGGGAGAGGGGATGGACATCCGGTTATATTGCGTAGCGCAGCAGAGGTGAAGGACTTGCAGCGACGAAGCAGAAGCAGAAGAAGTACTTTAGTTGAAGGAGACTGGAGGATGTCATTGGAAGGAAGACGGCAGCTCCCCCGCATTGCCTGATCTCCTGACAGCCTTTCGCGTCTCTCACTGGCCAGTCTCCCAGCCATCACGGGACTGCCGTGCTTCCGGATGTCGTGTTGGGTAGTATTACTCGTCTCTCAGATGTTCTTCTTCTTTGCTTAGCTCATTGCTTGAAGCTGGTCTAACTACGGTATGTGGGGGCCTCTTCCCTGGTTCAGCACAATGAGGTGACGACTAGTATCTATGACATCATCCTAGAAGGTATCGATCTCTATCCAACACCCAAAGACGTGATAAAACGCTAACAGTGGTACACATGCAAACAAAACGCATTATAGAGGCACTGCATGCTCCTGCCCTCCTTCCGTCATCGCCATCTCGTCATTAATGGTCCTCTCATGTCATTGATCGCCGTCCCCACGTTGTCGATCAGTGCACGGTCCTGTTGGCGCATGCAGCCGAGGGTCTCTTCCGCCAGTGATCAGACAAAGTGCAGCAAGAGTACCCTTTTCAGATGCATCTCCGCGCAAATACGGCTGGGTGTGTAGTTTGTCTTGTGGCAGCATAACAAGTAATCCTGGCCCTCGCGCACGAACCGTCCTGTCAATACATTTGGGAGCTGCAGAGCGAGGGCATACTAGTCCGTAGCCTTTCTCTTTCATCAAACACTAGGTGGTGCAATAAACTAGTGGCTCCGAAGAAAAAGCAAAAACCGTAAGCGGGGACTGTTGAGACAGCTCATCCGCCAACCCAGACCCCGGGTTAACCGTTTGTCTTACATGATCTGTTTCACTGCCTCCACGAGCCGGCTGTGGATGGACGAAGGTGCAACGATCATCCCGTAGCAACCAGACAGGGTTCTGCCCAAGCTGCAGTCGACTGGATTACCCGCCAGATCGCTAACTGTACAACCAAGTTCTTCGGCAATCAACATGCCGCCTGAATGATCCCAAATCTTCGACCGATAAGAAGGGTTACGCGGAATTTTTATCATGACATTACAGCCCCCAACTGCGATGGCGATGTATCGCAGCTGCGCGGCCCAGAGATCTGTCGAGGCTGGCCAAGGTGCACCCAGATGCGATGCAAGGCGGGCATGCATGTTCCTGTCGGATGATGTTGCTGACACGCAATCCACAAAATCGAGATCTTTAGGATCCGTAATCTGCGTCTTTGGCTCGATCTTGCGTGAGGGGAGGAGAGCCCCCGTTCCCATTTGCCGAATAAATGCGCCTTGTCCGGCGACAGCGAATACCTGATGCCCGTAGCCATCTCGGTCAACGATGTTTTCATGTAGGCGACCCGTCTTTAGGTTCATATTCGGACAGCCCAAAACGCCAACCTTCTGATAGCCGTTTTCCACCAGTGACAGACAAACAGCGTACTGCTGACCCTGAATAAAGGTTGCTGTGCCGTCGACGGGATCCAGAACCCAGGCACGGCTCTGCTTGCTACAGTTGCCTTGAGCACCAAGGTCAATCAAATCAAGCATTTCCTCCTTGCTGTTCGGGGCGTAGAGCAGCGCATCGCTTTCCTCGTCCGACAGGCGGGTAGAGGAGACCAGCTCCCAAGTCCTGTCAAGGAGAGCAGGATCGGATCGAAGCGCATCTGAGCTCTCTTCGCCGACAAACTCATCGTCGGGGAACGCACGGTGAATGGCAGCGATGATCAATGCCTGTGCAGCAAAATCAGCAATTGTCACTGGGGTGGCGTCATTCTTGTCGAAAGACCCCTTGTCCACAGCTTCCAATAGCTTTTTCGTCAGGAGCGTGGCTCTCTGGACTGTGAGACAGGCGATCTGAAGTTCCTTTGCGTAGGGGTTGGTGGATCCCATGGTAGCCGTATGTACCGTACCACTCGATAAGAATTTGAGTTTTCAGATGGGTATCTAGCCAGGATCCTTTACGCTGAGATCTCTGGGATGCAGTTCGCCTCAATTAAGCGTTCTTTTCAGTCGTCTCGAAATCAACGATACTTGGGGATTCGGAGAAGATGTTGCAACGTCTTCCGAGATCACACACCGACTAATATCGGATCCAAGGTCTGATGGTGGGGTCTTCCTTGGAGGGGCACCGCTGGTGACGTAGGCGATAGATAGGAGCGACCGGCGAAGTTTTGCCAATTCAGTCAAAGCAAAGATATGTAAAATTAGATAGTCTAAAGAGCGAAACCCTCGTGTCAGGATCTGTTCTGAAGGGGCAAAAGTAGTGGTAACAAGGAGGAAACAAAAGCAGGAATGACTCGAACATGAAGCCAGTGGAAGTGATCGCCCCGGCGGAGTGACCGTCTTTCTGTTTCAGGCTAGTGTGACTTAATCGAGTATAGTCGGATCTCCTTCGTTTATCTTATCGGGCCATTCTGCAGACTATCATCACGCCACCCATAAGAGTCACCGATATTTTGTTTGTTCGTAGCTAATGTATGAGTCTATTGCTGGTACAAAGTAGGGTGTTAATAATAGAAAGTCCAGTCGTAGGCCCATGTTTGGAGCATCAAAACCAATCTTATTGATCTGTAATATATAGGCGACGTTCCTTGCAGACACTTGGCCTCATGCATCTATTCCAGTACATGATGGAGTATTGGTTTGCTCTGTAACCTCATTCAATGCCATAATCAGGTCCGACATAAGAAACCTGAACATGGATAAGTCTCACTACTTAGCCAGAATTATCTGCTCGGTCCAGTAACAATGTAAACTCATGAAGGACATTAAAATGGAGCAAAAGCCAGCTCGTAAGCGAAGCCAAGGGTCAACCTCGCATGCTCCAGCATATGATCGAAGCTTAGATACCGGATGCTGTCATCAGTGGTGTGGATCCTCTTGTTGCTGTTCTCCATTTCGGACTCCGTCGCCATAGCTGCGGGATAGCCATATTTGCTTGCGGATGTGTGGTCCGAGCAGGCGTAGCCACATCTGGTTTCGATGTAGCCAATACCACAATACTTTGACAGAAATCGTTATTCATATGTTTTTACAACAGAAGAGAAGCGAGAGAACGTACCTCAGTAGTGACATCTTTGAGGAATTGTGTCAGTCCCTCATCAACGTAGTCAACCATAATCCCGATGGCTTCTTGACGACCGGCGTCCAGAGCTCCCTGAGTATAGCCAGTCATATCCTGTTGCAGCATCGCCTTGATGTCTCGCTTATCCCTCTTGTATTGAGAGAAGATGGCCTGCGAACCAAGCATCCCACCTTCCTCTGCCGAGTACCAGTGGAATTCGATTGTGTTGGAAGCGTTGCCCCGAACAATGGCGTCTGACTGCAGCAGACCACGCAAAGCTTCGAGGATAGTCACGGTTCCACTTCCGTCATCATCGGCACCAGGTGCCGCTAGGATAGAGGGAAGGAACAGATTGATGCTGTCCTGATGGGCACCCAGGACGACAGTTTTGTTAGTCTGGCCAGGGATGCGAGCAATGATACTGAATTGGCCCCATGAGTGAGCAAACTGCTCCACAGTCGCGCCGTACTTTGCTGCACCTGACTGCTCTATGACATCGGAAACCCTACTATATAGCCACTTTGCAGACTCAATACCAGTGGACGACCTATAGTAGCGAGTGTGAAAGGAGGTGAACTTGTTGAGATTTTGCTCCATGTTATCCTTGGAGAGACCCCGCAGAAGGGGGACCACCTTCTCTGCATGCTTCATCGTGGACGGATAGTGAACATAGCTACCGGCATGCAATGTCGGGTAGAACCCAGTGTTTCGCTCTTCAGTAATATCGATGAAGTTAACGCCATCCTAAGGAGCATCCAACGAGATATTAGTAAGATGTGCTATCGTGACAATAACGAAACGGGGCATGTTGCTATACCAGCTTCAGGTCCCACTTCTCTTCCTCAGTAACCCATCTTGTCTGATAGGGAGCCAGCTCGATCAGGAATTTCTCCTGATGGTGATGAGTTGGGGGATCTTGAGGGGTTATCAGCGGCTCTTGCTGCGGTACCACGGCAGCCAACACCCCCGTCGAAGCCGTTGCACCGAGTGCGAGAGCTATTGAGAGCTTCATGTTGTCTACGATAAGCTACCAGCTCAATAGATTGATGGAGAGAGAAGATAAGGATATAAGATGATGATCAATAATGATGATAGGAAATCAAATAGTACAGTTGCTGCTGATGAACCTCTGCACTGCTAATGAGTTGTTCAAGGCTGACCCGCCCGAATACCTGTCGGCAATTGATAAGGCTCCAAGGGTCACAGAAGGCCGAGGACTGAGCTGGGCAGAAGAGGAGGACTGCTTTGCAATATTAACTTAACCGGAGGACTGCTCCGATAAGATTCGGGATGATGCTAGACAGACACGGAGAGGTCGAATTGGATGCAGCCGAACATGCAACCTAAGAGCTGAGAACCCCCCTTTGAGACCGTTGCGTCAGAGGTGCGCGCGCGGCTTAAATAAGGAACACGCGCTGGTCGCACAACTCATCACTCCTCGACCGCCAAGGATGCCTGTGAGACTCCGATCCGACTCTCTGCTATCCCGCACTATTGATAGATGGTCTGACTTGACTGGTAGCCGTTGACTCTTAAAATGGTTCCTGGATTGAAATCAAGGCAGACTAGCCGCCCCTGGCAGCGGGTCCGTTTACCATCCAGCCTGGAAGCACCTGCACTATACTCTATTGCACTAACTTATACACACCATGGTGAAAAAGGGCTTAGCATGTCCACTGAGACAATATCAAGGCAGACACTGCTCTTGTCCCATAAGCCGACCCTTGTAGCATGCCATGCTAATGTAGGTCCCGTTGTGCGACCGTCACGAGTCTGTGTGCCTGGGCCCGGATCATTGCTGGCTGCCGCGAATCGTGGGGTAGGTACCTGAGGCACCAAGCTCCTTCTTATGAGATGCTCTGTCTTACAAGCATTGATAACCACCACTGGTGACTTTACTGTTTTAGGAATATACAACTACCGTTTGTAGGTTCCCAGTTATCTGGGGCTACTAATTCCTGCTCAATATTCGATCTGATCGAAAGTAAAAAAGGTCGCCAAACGAGCAGACATATCGTTCACCGAAAGGGCTATGAGTCTAATGAGGGGCGTGTGTCCGATAGCCATTATACGGTTGTATTATTAGGGTCTTTCGCACGTTGCTGCTTTGGAGAGCGATTCACTGAGGCGTTCCACATCGCCTTGTCATAAAGCACATACACAGGCCTGGGTGAGGGATAGTATGTGAATGATAAGGATGACAATCCGAGGGTCCCATTTCCAAGGTTCAAGGGTTGTTACATCACCGCCACGGGTGATGCGGATAGACGCCTGTCGCGTGAAGCACACGGCTCGCGAATCAGGGCGCCACTAGCAGTCACGATGACTCACAGAAGGTTCCTGTCTCAGATCCCATTCAGGCAGGTAGGGCTAGGGTAAGCGTCAAGGGCATCCAATGACCAGCCATTCGAGATTCTCGTGCCCCAGTGGGAGTCAACTGGTGGATCCGAGGCCGGAATTCTCAGCGCTTACCGTATTGTACCGACTGGGCTCGACCGCCGAACGCGACCGGACTGCAGGCGGTGGTTATCTCCTCTTATCTGAGAGCAGGGCTTCCCTTCGTCCACACCCCCCCCCCCGCCCCCCCCGATTCTTGTCGCTCTCCTCCAGAAGTCAGTCACTGCCTTAGTGGTCTCTCCCTGGAGTACTACTTTGATACCATCGCCTCAGGCTGCGACACCCTTTCTGTGCTTAACCGCCCCCGTCATCCCGGTTCTCCTGTCCCATAGGCCTATCCGTTATCGACTCCCGTCCGAACCGCGTTGCGCTCTCACCATGGCCATTCATCCGAATTTCCCATCTGAAACGAATCCGAGAGGATCTCTCTCACCGCAGCAGGCTCGCGCCATCTCCGCTTGGACTGAACAGGCAGCTGCATCCTTGGAGAGTCTGACTCTCTCGGAGTCAGTACCGATCGCCGATTCGAATGTGGTCTTTTCCCAGTCCACTCCTACGCGCGCAGGCGTGCGCGGCACCACAGTCTCGTTATCAATCCCCCTAGACGACCCAGTACCGACAGTGGGAAGCCCTTCCGCGCCTAAGGTCAAGGTTCTAGGCCAGTCAACCAAGGAGACCCAGGTGGCGTCGGTGAACTTCCGGCGCCGCGAGCCGCTTCGCCGTGATAGCCTCAAGAGGCGCGAAGCCTTGTTGAAGGGAAAGGATGGTAGTCGTCGCAGACAGCGTTGGGAGAATGGTATGTCTTGACATATCGGAATCACGCCACTGGCTGGGCTTCCCCGCTTCTCCTAGGCCGGGCATGCCTTGGTCTTTGCACTCGATAGATGCTGACAGGATATGCTTCTTGCAAAGATCGTCTTCTGAACAATCCGTGGGCTGAGCCACCTTCTTCCAAGGATTGGGATATCCAAGCCACCCACACTCGTCACGACCCTATGCCTTACTACCTTGCACCTCTCTGGGACAACCACTATGCGCGTTTGGACCATAGGTCATCCCAGCAGATGGAGACCCGGATCGAGAAGCATCGTGTTCCTAAGGAGCTGAGACAGAGACTGAAGCATGCACGTGCGGCACGTGGTATACTTCAGGATATCGAAGAAGATATCAGACAATTCATCCAGCGATGGAACGAGAAGCAAGGTTTACTGAAGCAGGAGGGTCTGGCAGATGCCCCACAGTCATCCGACAGTGAATCCGAAGACGAGATCGTGTTTGTGGGTCGAAACGGCCTGATGCATGACTCGCCTCAGAGAAGAGCACGACTGCAAAAGATGCGTGAGGCAATGAGTGCTCATCATGAGCATGATGGGCAGAAGATGGTGTTTGAGAGCCTGGTTGACGACCGGGCAGCTGGATTCGGGTAAGTGTGTAATCATTTGTTCCAAGCGTCGATCCATGCTTACCATATATTCTCACCTTCAGTCGCTGGCTCGTCCATTCCATCGCGTCGTATTACGGCTTGCACACTTGGTCTGTCACCGTCGGGGAACCTGCCCGCCGCGAGGCTTACGTTGGCTTCTACCCGCCAGCCCCAGGCAGTCGAGCAGGACCCGTATCCTCACCGGCCGGGTCGAAGGCTTGCCGTCAGGAAGCGATGATTCAGCCCGGCGACGAACTGCCTCAACCGCTCTGGACGCAGGTGTGAGCCGTTGGTCAGAAATGTCCATGAACTTCTGACCAATTCAAGTTCACTTCTAACAATTCTGCAGTTCTACAGAGCTTCGATGCGTTTGATTCACGGTGTATGTTTCGGGCTGATTTTAATATTTATATCTTGTAATATTGGCGTCGGTGGGATGTCTACTTACTGCCTGTGGGGACACTATAGATCCTGTATATAAGGTAGGATAGACCAAGACCTACAATTGATTTGGGCACATAGGGAAGGTGGCGACCCGCATGGATTTGTAGAGTAAGTATCTTCATGACGCGATCATCTTCACACATTATTCTATCCACTGTAAGACAAAGAAGATCTCTTATCCATGATCAATTCCTCCTATGCCCGCACCCAGCTACAGAATCATAGCCCCTCCCCCAACCCAAATTCTCCAATGCTGTCTACATTTGTAACCCATAAAGCAGCTGGATCTCTATATCAAAAATTCCCAAAATTATTAGATATAGAAGGGTGAGATTCCCACCTACCAGAATATGTTTGATGCATAGTTCACTTATACTACGTATCATTGAGCTGGATGATGAACCCTCTGTGATCTTGAAAGAGCGAAGTACGAAGAAACCGAAGTTGCAAGGGTGAAGTAAAGAGTTCCATTCTGTTTCTTGCTTCAACTTTCAACTCACTGGCCGTACAATATCAGTACTACCTATGGCAATTTGGTATGTTTCAGTTCTATGAAGAGGGCAGTGAGCAATTGATATATATATATATATATATGTTTACTAGAACTACTACGACTAGTCGCTAGCTGCCAAGGAGAATACAAGCGTACTGTCAATTGAACGGACGTATATATCTTACCGAGACTGGATTCTGGGAGTATATTTACTAATTGTATGTCGATATGTGGTAGAAGGCTGTGAAGACTCAATTCCAGTTTTGCTGGGACTGATGATGACACCAGTAAGTTAGCCTTGGGCATTGATGGAGTCTCATCCCTTTGTTCAACAAGTTCCTATTACTTAAGTACTATGTGGTATGCGTAGTGCTGGGTGATATAGTATATATACTACTAGTAAAGTGCCTGAAGTTTGATATACATATTGACATTTTTTATCTGTTTCATGATGCAGATTCATTCGAAAAGAGCATGGAAAAACATGGAATAGTAGACAATGACACGTATGATATTAGAAATGATGTCAATCGTTAGTACAATTGCTGGAGTGAAGGCACTCAATAGATTCTCATCAGGCAGGCATGTTATGTTGATGATGTCTCCGGGTGTGACTGTGACGTATTGGTATGTACCAGCCAAGTCAATAGTAGTAGATAGCCCCTCCTCCTCCTTCTCCATCTTTCCCGCCTTTGACATACCTGTGCTGATTCATGGATTGATGGGATTGACCAAGGCAGAAAGCCAATTGTAATTGTCAGTGTCAGTGCCAGTGGCATTGTTGGAATCCTGTACCACCGTCAGCCGTCAGCTTACATGTTGATCTACGATACCGGTTTTAGGTCGGTCCGGTGGTTCCGGGTCTAGATGGTCTAAATGATGTTATGCAGTAGGCTGTCATTGAGAGAAGAAGAGTATGGCATGGTTGCTGTTGACGGCGTGGATATTGCGTAGGGAGAGGATACGGGGGTGATTGAATACAACAATGGGGGTGACGTATTATGCAAACACAGTATTCTACTAGTACTTCTTGTGTTGGTTCTGCAACAGCAGATCACTTCAGACCTCGGGTGCATGTATGGTGCAAGGGACTGGGTATCATCTATCTGCTAGTACTACGGAGTAGTAGTAATGTGAATTGCTGTTCACTTACCTGATTAGGAAGTATCCGATGGATGCTTAATTTAGTAGTAGACTGACTGACTGCACTGATGCCTTGGTGTCGCTATCTCCCGTGCGCACAGTGAATTGATTGGCGAGTAACGGGAGAAAGATGATCATAATTTCAGGTGTCCATTTAAGCGACTGTGGAATGTCAAACCATCTCCGATTTTTCCTATGGAGAAGGGAGAGCGAGAAGAGAGGAAATAGAGGCATCCATAGACAAGCGAGGCAAGGGCACTGACCGCGCCCCACTTGGGAAGCCCCATCGTTGTGGGGGTCGTCAAGGAGAGAAACCGGAATAGGGTTCGTGTTTGAGTTTTTGGGTGGGAAAAAGACAACACAGAAGCCCCCCCAAGCCCGGAATCCATCTCCCCACGTCTTCGCCTCCAAAAGTCGCCTCTTCTCACATGTAATTTCCCGGTGATCTGTATATCTGAGGTGTCGCACCACCATTACCCTCAACTTCGCTGGTTATGTGGCGAGATTGATCGAAATGCCTGAAGGGGAAGACAGAGAGTGAGCATGGGCGATTATTCATTCGGTCCGATCCGAAGAGGCGACCCCAGTCGGTTCCATGGTACCGTTTCCCACCGTTGGGTCACTAAGTACTGTATAGTCAGGCATCGATCTGATAGATGTTGTGGACTTGACTTGACCACCATTGGTATTTCCCTGGTTTTGCGTTTATTTTTTTACCTCCTTGTCTCCGGTGACAAGGTACTATTTTCAAACTGCAAGAAAAAGAAAAGCTAAGCAGACGAATTGTTTGTTGATAGGTTGTCGGCAATTCTCCAATCCAGCGTTCGGTCAGCAATGAACATTTCCCACTCGACACCGCGGGCGAAGCACCAAGTACTAAGTCGCCAATTCCCTGCAGGGACAACGCCCAGTCTGCGCCGGATCGTGTCTTCCGTCGACCTTCTTGCTGCGACCTTAGCTATACGGTAGAATTCCCATATAAACAGGCTTTGACTGTCTTGGGCTACGGCACCAGTCAGGAAATGTCCGCATTTGGGAGTCTCGGAGAATATCCTGGACGCACAGGAGAAAAAGGAAAAGACCTGCCGAGAAATGCCTTTGCAAGGAAAAGGTAACTCAAGATAAGCAGTATAAACCTTGTCTGGGCGATTCTAGAACCTCGTGGTCGTAGCGGTCGGAATAAGGCACGAGTCATCCCAATTAGGCCGATGATGTAGCAGCCATAGTCTGAGACATAAACAATGATGCTTGGGGCTCTGTAGATGCGCATGGACTGTCTTTGCAGTTGAGGTCACTTGGTAGTAGTAGTAGTAGTAGTAGTAGTAGTAGCACTACCGTCATCCAAGGTCTCAAGGGCAGTTGAGTCAAGGCTGTAGGCAGAATCCTTGCTGATCAGTCAGTCAGTCAGTCAGTCTTGCCTTTAGAAGAATTGTGTACCGGCTGGATCTGCTGATTCCGAGAACAACGAGGATATTGCCAGCATCACCAGTACAGCATCACCCGCACGATCAGTGTGGGTGAGGAAAAGTAAAGCACAATCTGAAACTTTGTGCTGTAGATAAAGTTTAATGCTTCGTCCTTTTTCTTTTATTCTTTTCTCTCTATTTCTTTCCTTTTCTGCTAAAAGGAACAAATTCCGATGACCAAAAAAGGTTAAAAAAAAAAAAAAAAAAAGGAAGCAACTGGGTCAACCAACAGGAATGTGAGAGGGAGAGAGAGCAGTGAGAGATGGCCAAGTCAGTCAATCCATCAGTTGGCTGGTTGGTTCTCCGCTGGCCGACGTGGCTGCCCTCGCCAGGCGTTCATTTCCCATCCTCCATTCCGTGCTTTTTGCCCTTTGGCTCTCTTCTCTCTTCCGTTGCGACGGACTTTCTGCGCCACGCGCATTTCCCTTTCCCTCCCACTCACTTGTATGTAGGTGGTGAGGATGCCGTGTGTCATCTCGGTCGCTTCATACCCTGAAACCCTCCCTTGTGCTGCAAAGCCTGGCGTCATCTGCTATGATCCACGGCCCCCTTCCACATTCCCTCCATTCATTCGCTTTCTGACCCCTCTCGGATTGTTCCAGGGCTGAGTTCAGTTCAGTTCACAGCCTGATCTTGACCTCGGATTCCTGCCCGCTCTTTGTCCCGATTCACGATTACTGTTCCTATTATTATTCTACACCCGTGTTTATTCTTACGCCAATTCCCTCTCCTCCAATCCCTCTCTCACCCTCTCTCTATCCGTTCAATCTCGCCTGTCCCTGCCGCCGAAACACCCTCCCCCCCTCCTCTTCATCTGACCCAAAATTATCCTGCTCTTGGATGAATTTTGCCTCATTGTGCACTGCTTTTCCCGAAATCTCCTCACGTACGGTGTCTGAGACGGCTGGGGCTGCTTCTTGTACGGGAAAACGTTGCTTGGACCACGAGATCAGGCTATGATTGAAATACAACAAACATATTTATCCCTACCTCATCCTGTGTGCTTAACTCGCTACCACACTCTTTGATATCCTCCTTTCCCACCCCCTATATGCAACTTATCCCTTAAGCTTGCCTGGATTAGGATTAAAGTGTTACTGTCGGATCGGCTCGGGTATCGAAACAGTCTCTTGTCACTCTACGACCGGCCAGAAGGATACCCAAACTATACGCCACCATCCTTGCACGCCTGCTTGGTTATTATCGCTTCACAACCTATCCGACGGCTCCCTATCACATTAGCGCCGTCATGGGATCCCATGGTGCATCGTCTTACCGGAATGGTTCGAGGACCGGTGGCAGTTCCAGTTCCACTAACAGTGATGTCTCGGAACGCTCGAAAAGCACGGCCCCTACGATCTACAGCGATCGACCCACTCCCCTTCACAGAGGAGGCATAGACATGGACATTTACGATGAAGAAGGAGATCCTAAAGCCTCGGTGTCGACCTACGCCTCTACGATCCCGTCGGAAGATGATCCTCCAGAGACCCCGCGCTACGAAGTAATCGACCGTCAGCTGGACGTGTTCTCAACAGATGTTGTCCCTTCCGACCCGTCGACTTTTGGGCAGCTATTCCCTTCCTCTCGACGACTCCTGATTCGACACGACGATGCGACACTCGATGGAAACATGAACCTCCGCGTCGACACGATGGTGCCGCAAAGAGGTGGATATCAGCAAGATGTAACTTTGTTCCATCTTCGCATGTATGACCTGTTTACGCGAAAGTGCTCCTTCCGACGCTACTGTCGAGACTCTGGGCGGGAAGTGTGCCACTCAGAACGACGGCCTGTCGCATCGAGTTCGGACAGGCATCCGGTGTTTCGACGGTCGTGGGGTAGTGTGCTGGCTAGCTTGCGGCCGGGTTCAAGTGGCCACGGATCACTGCCTAGCCACGAGCATAAGCGCCAGGACTCGGGCTATAGGTCGGCGGAAGATGATGAAGAATATTTCGAGGACAAGCATTCAGAACACCGAGGTGGCGGGGATCGCCATTTTGTGCTAACCGATAGCACTTTACTCGAATTTTCAAATTATGCTCACGTAGAGCTGAGGCGCCGAGGTGCAGGTCTCTCCAAGCGATATGAATTTGAGTACTGGTCGACCCGGTACCAATGGAGACGCGAGTGTCGGAAAGATGGAGACTTGCGCGAAGTCTCCTATCATCTGGTTAACACACGCACGTCCAAGACCGTCGCTCATATCGTCCCAGAGATTCTGACCCCGATGGAGGCAGCTGAGGAGGAGAAAAAGGGAGGATGGGTTCCACCATCATCCATGTGGATCAGTGACCCGTCCGTGTATGAAAAGATGCCCGACGTCGCCGAGTAAGTAATTCAATTTCCCTCTACTTAGTGTCGGGTCGAAGCTCTTCCTTTTTAGAGTTTGGGGCTGACTAGTGTACAGTGTATTTGTTGCCACAGGCCTAATATCTTTTGTTGACGATTGCATTCGCCGCCGATGGCACACCAAGAGACCGTCCCAATTCATCCAGCCGATGCGATCAACCCTCTCGAAGAGTATTGAGCTCATGGGTCCCCGGCGATTTCTCGATGAGGTGTTCCACCGACGAGGGTCCGCATAAAGAATGATAGGCTATCGATGGAGGAAAAACGGATGGTCAAGGGCGACACGGCGGCAACACGTCATGCCATCGTGTTGTTGAGGGGAAAGACCGGTTTGCAACCGGCGCAGTTTTTCATTGACAGGGGTCTCTAGCCGACCACTTGGCTCTTAACGACGATAACGACCGCAAATGATGATGGGATTTTCTTTTTCTTTTTTTACTTTTTCCTATTTCTCATTGGGAATTGACAGGGGGGGGGGGGGGGTTCGCATTGAATTTTGGTTGGCTCATGTGCTCTAAATTTTTCTTGTTTACTTCTTCTTGGTATTTGCGCAGCTGAGGGGAAGACGGGGTGGTACATTTGGGCGGTTGCCGGAAGGACAGACCGGCATGATTGGCGATGATGTGTTACAGGAACCGGAGGGTCGTGCAGGTTCGGATGAGGGGGGATGTTGACGGTGGTGCTGGTGCTGGTGGTAGTGATGGAGGGTAGTGGTGCTTGCTGGATGCAGTTTAGTAGCTACTCACTACCTAGCGGTACTTACTAGTAGTAGTAATACTAGGCAAGCAAGTGGGTGGTGGTGGTGGTGGTGGTGTGAACCTGAGTTGGCTGCCTGTTTCAGCCTCACCTTTTCTCTCTGCTGGCATCTTCCTGGTACTATTTTGAAATATGATCAGCATTGATCTTGGTGATGACGCTTGCGCATGTCAATTTAGAATGCTGCATATCTCATGAACCTAATGCCTAGCCAGCCAGCCACCTTGGACTTTTTATTTTAATTATTCCCGCCAGCTAGCTAGCTGTCGACTCTTGCTGTCCGGGCCGGGGAACAGGACCCGCGATTATAGTTCGTTCCTTGTCTGCCTGACTTGTTCAACCCCTGGTCTGGACCAGATCAGATGGCAAGCGAAGAGGACAACATGCATGATCTGGCTAGGCTTGAAAGGGGATATCCAAGAAGATAGTGCTGCTGTGCTGATGAATGTACACCAGAAGAGGGAAGTGACGGCGTGGGTGGCAGCCAGGTACAACACACTCCCCGGGTACTAGGGATATACTAATCCAATATGTTACGGAAAAAGTGACATGATTACTGGAAACTGGATAACCTCTTCTATTCTTCGATACCATAATCTCTACCACTGCCCAGCAATCGTTCTATTACTCTACTCAACTCCATCTCCAGATGAAACTCCGCTCCAAACCACGATGATGCGGGGCAGATCGAGGCTCGTCGCCAAAAAAGAAACGCAACGGCGCGTCGAATCAACGGGCTGGTCGCCGCCTCGAAAAGCGGTTCGTGGAAACGTTCCAGCCTTCCCCGTTGTTTGGCGCGCTGGTTATCAATCTTGCTTGCTTATGCAGGTTCTTCATCACTTTCCACGATTTCCTTGCTGCTTCCAATAATCTAACAGAGAAAAAGAAAATAATTAACACAACACCCCCCCCGGTCTCTTTTTGCCCACCCCCTCCCCCTTCCCTTCCCCCATTAAGGTGGTTCACAAGTAGTCGCATATTGCAAGCGAAGAGAGATTGAACTGAAATGATGCACGTATGAATGCCCAACACAATGCCAGAAGAAAGCAACGAATCATGGCATCTCAACTGCTGGAAATGGTCTGGGTCAAGCATACCCAGCTCGCTCTTCGCTGGCAATTTGTGTCTCCCTCAGAGTGATTCTAGTGCACAAGCTGGCCTTCCAACATTGTTTTCTGTTTCCAGACCCCTGCTGAAGGTTTCGCTTTTTCCCCCTTCCGGGTTATAGTGATGCCATCGAGTAAGCTCTGGCCACCCTGGAATCTGCAGCCCCCTTCCCGATAACAAGTACCCATGCAGAGCGGCCCGGTCAATGACCGTTTCGTTCTAGGGCTGAGAGTAACCATTTGATGGGTCTTAAAATTTACAATGGCTCGAATTTTTCTGATTCGAGTCTTTTTGATGAGCTGGCACGCTGGTCTTTGGGCCCGCTTCCAATATTCTGAGTGGCCCAACTGGTCGACATAAAATTATACTCTGGCTTCGATTCGTCACTATTCGGTCTATGGGTCCCCTTCCTCCGCTTTTGGGCAACTACTAGGCCTTCTCAGGTTCCCCGTCAACCGTCCCATGCCTTCCAGAAAGAGACGGTCCTCCTTCCTGAAGAGCGTCTATGAGGCGAGTGGCTTCCTTCCTACCCGATGTATACATCGTTTGCG